TATATATATAAATTAATTAATTTAATTTTGTAATTTAATTTTAATATTAATATTTAATTAATTCATTTTGTATTAATTGTATTATAAATCATATTAATTTTACTGTAATAAATGTTGTTTTATGCAAGTAAAAACAATGAACTGCTGTATAATTTATGATGAAAAACAGTAAAAGAACATTCCCTGCATGACACATCACAAATGATTATATTCTATGTAAATAATTTGGTTCGTTCTCATTTCTGAAGCAAGTCATGTGCATTAGGGTGTTGTGCGTTACATTTTCTGTTTCTGAGTTAATGTTTATAGCATTATTTTAGCCTCATGTGGGTTACCATGATAGTGTTTTGTCTTTGTATGTCCCGTTGCACCGTTTATTCACAATTACTGGCTATGTTTTACGGACAGGCCACTTACAATGAACTCCGATTCATCATGTGACTTTCTATTTTACCACCTGTATTATTATGGTGGTTACCAGAACATTTTAAAGGTAAAAAGCAGATTTTGGTAATTCAAGTAGGTTGGTATATTGACATTATATCACTTACTAAAATATACAGTCATCACCAATAAACAATCCCAAAATACCTGAATTATTATGGTGAGTTTCTGGAAACCACAGCTGCCATTTATAACCACAAATTTAACAAAATGTTTCTTTAAAGTCTAGAAAAAAAGAGAAATATTACATCAGCAAAACTGCAGAGACTGAGTGAATAGGATACACTGTAGACAGAAGAAAGATAAGTTTTAAGGGATAAAATATTTGACTACAGGGGGACTTTAAGAATTAAAAAAAAATGTAATAAGCAATGATTCATCGGATTGATTAAAAGTGGAACTAAATACATTTATAAAGTTACATACGACTTCAATTTCAAATAAATGCTGTTCAATTTAACTTTCTATTTAAGGGGAAAAAATTTTAATATAGAAAACAGTTATTTTAAATTTTAATAATATTCCATAATACTGCTGTTTTTATTGATTTTTTGAGCAAATAAGTATCTAGCTGAAAGACGTTTGCATGCAGTGTCACACACAGTAATCTTTTCATTTCAAAAAAGACAAAATATCAACAGAGGTGACTAATATTGTGTTAAAGACCATTCTTAATAAAACACCCTTGCATAAACAGTATTCACAATTGATTCAACCACATGGAACCGTTCAGGATATGACAAGACCCCCAGTGAAACTACTGAGAATGTGCCAGCAAATAAGAAGCTGGCTTGCCATGACCATTAAAAAGAAATAATTATTTTAAAATAACCAAATATTGTGTATGTAAAGAGTTATACTGAATATCGACCCTGGGTCAGTAAATGAAAAAAAATGCTGGCTTCACCAATTCCTGAATGGTCAGACAACTCTGGAACCACGAGGGAAAATAAACAAGTCAAAAGGGTTTCATTGTATCTAATCAAACTAATGAGGGACAGCGGGAAAGCTTTGTGAGGGATGCATGTCAACGTCAGAGAAGAGATCACTTGATTTCGGCTGCCTTTCAAATGTGTAACCTCAGCACTGAATGAAGAAACCTGATATTAAATCTGTAATCCATTTTCTTGCAGACCAAACATACCTGCTGCTTCATGAGGAAGACCTGCTCATCCTCTGCACTGATTTCCTTGTCATGCACCAACTTTGGAAACACAAAAGGGACAAACAGGCATATGTTATATACGTACTAGCAGATTAAGGTCAAATTTTCATTCCTAGGTTCTTTTCTCACCTTTCGTACAGGAGGTTTCGTTATAAAATCCTCAAAGGGATCTTCAGGTCGAACCGTTGTGAAGTTTTCATGCAAGATGGCAATTTTCTTGTCATTGTCCCATCCAGATGGACTATGCAGAGATAAAAGTGTTTTAAAAGAAACCAGTTTGGCAGACTAAAACCAAATTGAATTAGACATGGATATTCTCACATAAAAAGATAAGAAATGCAACATTTTTAGGGGATTTTGGAGATCTCACATGAACACAGCGTCCTTCTCCACTACTAAGGCAGGCGTAGTAAACTGGAAGTCATATATTTTGTGCACCATGAATTTGTAGAGAAGGTCCAGGTTCTTCTCCTCTTTGACTGAAGTGTAAATCAAACCAGCTCCATCTGTGAGATTTGATTAAGGATGTGTATACTGTCAATATTTTTATTTTATTTTAACAGGAATATAGGGTTGTCTTTCATGCACCCGGGGCTGGAGGGAGGCTAACAATAGAAGAGATCATTGAGCGTGTTCTGATCCAAAAGAGCATGTGAGGGGGGCATGGTGCGTCTGCAGCTCTGGACCTGCGGGCTACTACTGAGACTCCATAAAGAGAGCTTTTCATCCAGCTAAAGACACTCAGTGATGCATCAGAAACAACAAACCCAATCCCCAAACACAGAGCAAAACAACTCAAAATATCCACTCAAATTTCACAAATTGTACATCTAATCACGCCTATTTATACACAGGACATAAACTACCATTCAAAGGTTTAAGGTCAGTAAGATTTTTTTTAAGGTTAGGACAAAAAAATTGTATTCAGCAAAATTTATGAAAAATTAACCGTAAAGATGTGCTATATGTTACAAATTTATTTCATATAAATGAAATGTATTTATCAAAGAATGATGAATCAAATAATCATGGCTTCCTCAAAAATATTATGCAGTAAACTTTTTTATTAGAAATGTTTCTTGAGCACTAAAATCAACATAGAATATTTTCTGAACAATCATGTGACACTGACTGAAGACAGTAATGGCTGTGAAAATTCAGCTTTGCCATTACGTTTTAAAATATTAATTTTAAAGTGTAATGCTACTTCACGGCATTACTGTATTTTGTACTGTTTTACGGTGTTTTTTAATCAAATAAATTTAGCCTTGGTGAACATAATAGACTCAATCGAAAACATTAATCTTACTGACCCCAAACTTTTATAGTATTGTTTATACACACAATTCCTGAGACCAGATTAAAAAGCATGCTTTAATAATGTGATTGTAATGGAATACGTACTACATTCACTATGCTGATCTCAAATATGCTGACCGAACTCTTATTAAGGTAATATAACACCTATAGGACCCAATATGACAGGTCAAATGATTTGATCACTTTCAGCTACCTTTGTGCAAACTATGAGCACTGGAATGCCCAGGTTGTGTGTGAGGACGTTGTCTCCCAGGGGCAGCAGCACACTCTCATCTTCTCCCCCAGCTGCTGGAGCTCGTCTCAGGGGTGAGGCCGGCGTGGATTCCTCTGGTTCTACATACTCCTGAAAGGCCTTAACCACTGCAGAGAAAAGAACAAGACACAAACAGGGTCAAACGTACAGTAACTTAACATATTTACAGGTAACAGTGTCAGCTGCTACATCATACAGTTGACGACCGTAACAGAAGCATCAAACCATTACATTACTGTTTACATTAAACAAACCATATATTATGATGTTTGAAAGTAATAGGTAACTTCATAAACAGGGAAGCTCTACCCATGCTTAACAAGTAAGAACCATTGAGGTTTGTTCTCAAACATCAAGCAAGCACACTTGAAAAAACGTTTACCATATTTCATGAACTCCATGTATTTGCATAGATCAAAATTAAAGCTGCTGAGTCTTAAGCCACTCAATTTATATGAATTACTTTTACGATATCTTTTTGTAATTTCTGAAGCGTCAACATTTTGAATGTGTTTAAATGGACAGACAAAAATGATTAGCATATATATATATATATATACACA